TGGGATGGGTGGGTGTTAAACTAACTATCTGCTAAACTAGGCTACCCTGTATAAATATTCGTAAATAAATACATACATACATACACACATACATACATACATACATACATACATACATACCTACATACATACATACATACATACATATATACATACAATCATTAAATTACAGTAGAAATACAGAAAAATAGAAAAAAATACATATGACTAATAGAATTTCAACAAATTGAAATCATTTAAAGAAAGATGTTTTAGTTTTGCAACAAAAGGAATACATTTTACTTTCACATTTGACGCTTTCCACATTAAGGATCCTTGCAGTTTGCATGACATGTGTCAAATATGAACTAGCAAATGACTTAATTCACCACAGAGGTCACTTCGCAATAGTCGTGGAACATCAGAGCACGGAATCATGGGATCTGGGGCCGGTGATTCCTGAAAGGGAATCTAATGTTTTTTTTTATTCTGCCTCACACTTGTGACGACACGAATAATACCTTTCTGTTTTCGTCTACCGAGCCCAAGTTTTTTTCCTAATTCTATATTTCTTTTACTACCAATTACAGCCAATTCTGCTCCAGCAAGATTTTCGATCTTTTAAGATTTACAAACGAATAGCCTGCTCTCTAATTTTATGCTAATTTGTGTTATTTAATTAGTGTAGTTAAAAGTGTCAACGTAGATTCGCCCATAGATATACTTACGATGTATGAAACTTTGGTCTTCAGCAGGCCATTGATATTCGACGGGTCGAAAGCGTACTGCTACTTCATCTCTTCCATGACGTATAAAGGAAGTCGTTTGTTGAACAGAATGCAGTGTAACCAGTATAACGCAAGTTAGTACCAAACAGATCTTCATTCTTTTAATGACTTCGTCTAAATGAAAGATTTTAGAGAAAACGTTTGGAGAGAGATTAAGTTTTCCATCATACTATAACCAAAAGCAATACGACTTTTCTAGCGCGAAAGCAGTTTAGCCCCATGTCTAAATAAAAAGATCACATTCTTCTGCCAAGTTCGGGAAAACATATTTCTTTCAGCGATAACTAAGCTTAAAATCTACCATGCTATCTGAAGGTTGAGTGTAGTTCACTGAGATTTTATAAAAAAGTATTTTTTTTCTAGGACTTTCGCAACAAAAAATACGGCCGTATAGCTATTCCAATCTTTTTCGCACCACTTCAAAAGTATTTCAGTAAAAAAAATAAAATAAGAAGAAAAGCAGCGAAACTAATGGAAAATCGTTAAGTAAGAAAAATTGATCCTAAATTTGGATACATCTTCATTGGAAAGCATGAAAAGTTTTCTCACTGCTATCAAATCAAAGCAATGTAAATGATTCAGATGGACATGGTCCCCTTAAAAACTATGTTTACCTCAAAGGATTTCCGGTAGAGCTCTCCTGCCTTCTCCTCTACTCCCTAACCTTTTGATATGTTCCTACGACTGAGCTTTATTTATTTACCCGACGTGGGAATAATTATATGCTTCTGTGCTAAAGCCTCTTCTTTTTCAAAAGAATAGGCTTAAACTGATTGCTTTCAAGAAGGTTATTCCATTATGACCCAGCCAATAACGAGAGTGAAAACAGATGGCTTCCCAGTTATTTTTCTGCTCTATAACCTTGATATTCTTTGATTCATTTCAAACCTTGGGAATAACTTTTTGCTCCTAAAAAATTAAAATAACTTTTTAAAAGGTTAGGCTTAGGATCATTGCCGTCGAAAAGTTTATAGAAGTTTCAACCAATTATAAGACTTCCCCTAAAATCTCGGATTAACCTAACTTTAAGGTTTACTTCAACACTCAACTTATCTTAATATGTGGAAAGCTTAAGTTCATAACAGTACTTAAGTGAAGATTTAACTAATATAATAGATAGTAAGGGTTTGCCTTTCTCATTCAAATGTTTCTAATTAAATACCAAGCGATTTGCGCAACCGACGCCACATAGAACAGGGACTTGCGAAAGATATCAGAAATGATGTAGTTAAGGGCATAAATAATTAAATGGAATGGTGTGCTATTAAGCCTAAGGAAATATTGCAAAAAAAGATACGCCATGCTAATTTGCTCAAATTAGAGTCGCAAGCTCAGAGGGTCTTATAGCAAAGAGCGGGTGATAGATATCGGCCACATAAAAGAATATTGTCAATGTTGTCTGTTAAAGGGCGAATCTAACTATGGTACTTATTTACCATCCTCAATGATGTTATTCTCAAGTTACCTCCAGTGGGTTTTTTTTATCTAGTTTGTCCCGGAATTGTGGAATTTTGCGATGCCATTCAAAAAGAAAACCCTGTGTCGCTGATTATGTTGAACCGCTGATCCCTGAGAGTGACTATTATCTAATTTCCTCATCACCCCTGAATCAAACATTAAGGTCAGGAGGGTAAAGAAGCTCTTGATTGTTTAACAAATTCTCCTTGTCAACACCTCAGGTAATGTCTAGTGAGTAGTATGGAGAATATGAATACTGATGTCAAGGTGAACAGGGTTAAAGTCATGACAATTAATTCAATTCGTAATTCTTTCAAGAAAATCTTAGGAAATTGTAAAATTATTTCCTAGACGGACAAGATATCTACAGTCTAGTTATGATTCGAGTGAGTTAGCCTTTGGATCAACGTCAGTTTAGCTAATTCAGTCAGCAGATTAGCATTTGCCTTTAAAAGCATAAAATCTCCTTGCTGGATAAAAGATTAGCCGAATCGCACAGCTTTATAGGGAAGAATTCGTGAATCTTTGATGCTATCACTTCCCCTCTCGCGCGAACGAAAGCAACCGAATAAAACATGTCTGGTTTTGAAGGACGCTTGAAAAAGAAATCGTTTTGATCATCACATCTTGACTTTTTCATCTTTTTTCCCTTATTTTCTGGCATGACATCCGTGTCTAAAAGTTCAAGTCCAAACAGAGAGAACACTTTTAACTACTATGTCGGACAGTTCAAAATGGCGACCATCGCTGACTTACACCCACTCATGTAAGACTTAGGTAGGGAGAGATAAGCCCGCAAAGCGTATTATTATTTAAATTTACGAAAGGTTAATAGAGTTTTATTAGTGAAGAAACCTGTATTCTGTTTGATCAGTTAACAAGGCGTTCTGTTGTTGTATTGGGTCAAGATGGCTTTGGTTTTCTTCGTTTTGATTTCCATTTAGATTAACTATTAACTTATCATAAGTAAATAAATAAATAGATAAATAAATAAATAAATGTTAGATATAGCTCTTTGGCATTCAAGGCTCTGCTTTCATGTCCAAATTGAGCACTGTGGGGCGAGTCATTGCCGCTAGCATTGCGCATAGCTCACTAGGCTTTCCTAGTTTGAGCACTCTGGCATGGCTTAGACGATACCACAAATATGGGATCGTTTGGGGTAACCATATCGGTTCTCCCCCAACCTAGCATCAGCACTGCACTGATGAGACCCAGGATTTACTCCTTCACCTCCACAGTATTCACTCTACTTTGGGATTCTGCGCAGGATCACTCTTGGGGCACCGACTCTTGTGAGTATTTGTCTTTTGGTCCTCTTTCGCCTTTTTATCTTTCGGCGTTTTTCGGACTTCTTCGGCAACCCTGCCGATTTCCGGCTTCGTGCCGATTTCGGAGGGTTTTTTCGGTCCTTTCTTCGGCCTTTCTCGACCGTGGTTTCCGGGTGTTCGGCGTTTTCCGATTTTTCCGGTGTGTTTTCGGCGAAACAAAATTTTTCGGTCGCCCATCCAGTTTTGGGCTGTGTTGCGTGGGGCCGAACTCACGTTTCTTGTTGAGTGATGGGCACTACAAAATCTTAATT